GTTGGGTTGTCATTCTTTCATTAAACTTATGTTAAAGGAATTAGGAATCCTTCTTTAAATGCTGCAAAGTATGGTTAAAACTTCTGTATTATTATTTAGAATATTTATTTTTCATAAATTAAGTTTTATCATTATATAGGTGGTAGCCTATATGTAGGGTTGAGTTTGATTTGTCAAGATGGTGGCAAAATTTGCAATTTTCGAATGCTTACAACTCTTCTAACTTACCTTTTAAAGCTTTATAAATGTCTTAGATGAGTTTTCCTTCACTGAGCAATTCTCCTGGTACATTTATAGTGGACTGTAATGTAGTGGATGAATTTCTATATAAAAGGCCCAAATTCAAATTTCTGCAAAATTCTTCAGACCTATTCTTCTTTCATCTTCCGTCTATCTCCATGGAAATCTTCTAAACTAGAGAACAACTTAAGGTGGCTTTTACAGCATTCCTTAGCACTTGGGTCAAGGTTATTTTATTTTTGAACTTACTTTATCTGATAAACTAATCATTTGGGTGTGGTTGAAACACCATCTGTTTTATCAGCCATTTTTTATTAAATGCGCATGCGCACAGTTGCCATAGTGACTGTCCTGTAAAGTCTAAGTACTGACTAGAAGCTGTATCTCGCTCTGTTCTTTATCTTCTGCTTAATTTAAAATAGTGAGGACTAAGGATCACCAGTTCTTTTAAGAGCTAATAGGTAAATAACTTAAAGATACTATTAAAATAAACAATTCTCTATATTAGAGTGAGTCAAGCTTACAGTTAAAGTTCCCAGCTGCTACTTTGAAGTTCCGTTTGTCAGCTGCTATTATGTATTGGTAGTTCTTTTTCTCAGCTACTTAGTTAGTGTATCAAGCTAAGTGTTTATAATGATAATCATTCAAGCAATAGGAATGGTAATTGTCCATTTTCTATATTATGGTAAAAGTACTTATTTGGCATTTTAATTTTATTAAGTGTAATTGTTGTGGTGTTAGTTGTAAAAAAGGATTTAAGAAATGCAGAAGCAATTTAACTGGGGCCAAACTAAGCAAAGAAGTATCAAAAAGTACAAAATTAAGAAGCAATTTGAAGGTTTTATAGAGAAAAATAGATCAAATGCCAGATCATACTATATAAGACAATGTAACAGGGTCAAAAGTAAAGCGAAAATTGCTTACAAAATTTGTAGAAAGGACAAGCTTGCTTCTTCAAACCAGTTCCATGCATTGAACCCAGGTTATGTAATACAAATATGTAAAAAATGGTATAACAAAAATAGAAATATTAAAATCAAGAAATCTTCAGAAGATTCACAAAAATGTATTTCCAAAACCCCTTAAATATAAAAATGATGTCTAAAAAATGCTATGAACAAATTCCAGGCCAAAGTCTTTGAACTGGTTTTACGAGAATTGAGAAGCAATATTACATGTAACAAAAAATCAATTCATGAAGCATAAATTATCTGATAATGAAATGGATAAGTTAAGAATGGCACTAAATAAAGACAATAAAAGGCGTCTAAATAAAAATTATTATGAACGTACTTATGATATAGATTACATTCTAATTTAGTCATTACCTCCATCAAATAGTGAAGCAAAGGAACATTTTTTTACTAAAATTATTGAAGCACTATATTACAGGCCTGAAATAGTCAAGTACGAAAGGTGTAGATTTTGAGAATATATATGACAGTAAATGTAATGCTGCATCATGTATATTGTTAGAATCATTTTTGAAAAACTGATCCCACAAAGTAGGTGTATTGATACGTGCATCAAATAGCATTAGGAAATTGAAGTTGAATTGCTTTAGTGATTTTGATGAGCAATGTCACACAAAGAATAGTGAGCATTATTTTATGAATCTGCATTTTTGTATCCTTATGATATCTGTGATAGCCAATTAGATAGTGCAATTGCAATCCCTATTGATACATATGGCATCTGTTATGTAGCAGGGATTGTTGATGTATCATGTACTGATAGAGTAGATAGTGACTCTGAAGATGATAATGTTGACAATAATAGAATGTATACTAATAAGAGAAAGCCTACTCTCAAATGGCACTGTACAGGCAGGTGCAAGCCTTTATTAGAGAGTGACATTAGTTCAATTATTGAAGTTAGATGATATTTTTGTGAACCCATTAAAGAATTGAGGAAGCATTTACATGCATCTGATGATTGTCCTAATAATCATTATATGACAAGATCCCTGCATGTCGAAGAAATAGATCAAGTACATAAACATAATTTCTGTGATAATGCAAATGTAAATTAATTATTAAAAAAGATGTAAATAATGTTGAAAAATATTTTAATTATTCTGAAATTGTTTATGAAAGGATAGGCCATCCCATTTTGTGTAGTAGTAATGATACTGATTGTAAAAGTATGCTGCGTATTTTACACAATGCATCTGTTCATTATCCTTTGCTGAGACACTTTTTAAGACACTTATGTTGCTAGAAATGCACATTTAACAATAGCTATTATTGATTCTTCCCTTGCTGATGGCGACAGCACAATCCATAGATTTAAAAATTAATGAAGCTGATGAGACTGAAATTAATGATGTGTGTTACACTATAAATGATGGAGAAGAAGACCCATTTTGAATACCAAACTTAGATATGGTACTTTATTCAGATACTATTGATGAATTTCAGAAAGCTGTGTC